GCGCCTTCCTCGACTATCACGGGCTCCCCTACGAAATCGTGGAGGTGAACCCGGTCCTGAGGAAGGAGATCAAGTTCTCCGCCTACAGGAAGGTCCCCATCCTCCTGGTCGACGCGGGAAGCCCGCTGGTGAGTGCAGGTCTGGCCGAGCGGGTGGGTCTTCTTTCCAATCCGACGGGGCGAACCTACAGAGCGTTCCGGGCACGGAGGGGCGCCTGGCCCTTCACCGGCTGGGTTGCCTGCCCGGTTTTACGGTTTTAGCTGCTTGGATGGCTTTTCTAGTTTTGGACGCCGCCTGGAGCCCGCTGGAGTCGGGCAGGCGATACATTTAAATAAGTAAAATGAAACCACGTTAAAGCTGAGATGAACGTGAGAAAGAGGCTTTGCGTTCTAGCTTATTGACGCTTCCCGTTATTCTGTTTCCTTCTTCCAGCAACTGAACGACTCTTCAGTCATCATTAGCGCAGTTAAAAGCCATCTTATTTCCAGGTGAGAGACGGCCTTTGCCTCTTCGGGGTTGGGGGGGACCCTTCCGTTCCTTGCCTTTGATTCTCCCTGCCCCAACTCTGGTTGGGTCCCCATTTTCACATTTAGAAGCTTTAAGGAAGTTGGCAACTCCTGTGGGTGCTTCCTGGCCTCCCAGCGGCTATTCCAGGAGAAGAGAAGGTTGTGGGAAGGGGAAAGAGGGTGAAGTTAGGAAAGTGGTTAGTTTGGCCCGTCAGTCCTCTTCTTTTTCTCTTCAGCTAGTGGTGGATCAGGGTTGTAGGAGTTTCCTGTTTGCTGTTTGGAAAAGAAAAGGGTAACAGAAAGTCCACGCGTTAGTTGGCTAAAACCGGAGCCCGTGGACGATGCTGGCTGGGTTTCCGTGTGTGTTATTACTCTGTCGGGGGGAAAAGGGCATCCGGGCCTGTGTTGATGGGGGCGTAATTTTCCCTCGTAGGAAGAGCTTGGAAGAAATTGTGTCCTACTACCCTGCTATGAAAGCCATAAATAAGGAAGGGAAGGAGGTGACCGAGTTTGGGAACAAGTACTGGCTGATGTTGGACGACAAGGAGGCCCTCTGCGTGTATCCTGTCGAGGAAGCAAGAACGTGGGTGCAGCTTGGGATGATGGGGGCGGCTTCGGTGGGAGCTTTCACTGCAAAGCTCCTTAAAGTTATGGGGGGAGGGAGGGCAAAACTGGGGGGGTGAGTGTTATCCCCTCCCTAACCCACTGTGGTTTTAGATGCATCCCTAGGCCCAGGCTGTTAAAAGAAATCCAGGGGGAATACCTCTTTTCCTGCTTTCTTTGCAGGGAAGAAATGAAGTGGAGGAAGTGGGCAGACGACTGGCTGGTCCACTTGATCTCTCCCAATGTTTACCGCACGCCAGGAGAGGCCCTGGCATCGTTCGACTACATCGTGCGCGAAGGGAAGTTCGGCCTGGTGGAAGGTTTTTTCGCCAAATACGTGGGCGCTGCTGCAATGTTCTTCGTAAGCAAGAGGTTAAAGAAGAGGTTGGTGCTCTCTGATAACTGCACGCGCACACAGGTCGGACGGTGCTGGCATTGAGGGCGGATTCTGCGTGCTAAACCGTATGGGCCTACGAGAACGGATTATGCATTAGGCTTTTGCTTTTAATCCAGGCACCATATGCGGGATGATGTCCGGGAAGACTTGTACCAAGCTGTCAACGATTGGGTGAAAGCTGTTGGCAAGCACAGGACGTTCATGGGGGGAGACCAGCCTAACCTTGCAGATTTGGTAAGAGATGGGGCCGCGGCTGCCTCAAGCTGAGGGCGCCTTGAGGCTCTGGGCACACACAAGTAGCCTGGCTCCCCCTTCCATGCCTGCTCGGCCCAATTGTTAAGGCGATGCAGCCTCCCCTCTTTGGATGCTGGACAGCAGCTTTACGGTGGCCTTTCAAGATGGCCGAAGGCTGCACTGGTGGGCAGTATATCAGTTGAACTCCAGGGTAGCAGGAAGGTCCCAATTCTAGAGCTGCGCAGTGCCCTCTCTGGCTGAGGGCTCTGATGACAGCAAGGAGACTCCAGCCTGTCTGAAACCAGGCCAGAAGCTGCAGAGAGCAAGCGGCTTTATGAGATGGGTCTTCTCTTTGTCACTCTTGGCAGCTCGTCCATTATTGTGGGGGGTGGAAGCGCCATGGATTTTCCTGCCCTTTTGCGGACGCTCTGCTTTTTGCCCATGCAGGCAGTTTATGGGGTCCTGCGCGTGATGGAAGGCTTGGAGGCGTTTGACGACATGATGGGGCACACCAGGATCCAACCTTGGTACCGCCGCGTGGAGGCTGCTGTCGGCCAGGTCGAAGCCGCCAGATGGACGCACTGCTGAGTCTCGGGGGTCGTGGTTTTGCCCGGCCCAAGAAAAGCTGATTCTGGGGAGTTTGATTCAAAGTGAGGTGGTGCTGTGCAAAGTGGAGGGCCGCAAAAGGAGCACCAGGGTAGAAGTAGCCACAGCCATGGGGAGAACCTGAAGCAGCAGAACAAAGGTGTGGGCAGTTGCTCTTGCAGTGGGTCTATCTTGATTTTAGGAAGGGGGCGGAAGTCGCTAACAGGAGGCTGCGCTCCTCGGAGGTTGGATTTGGGGCCTCTTCCTGATTCTTTTGAAAAGCAAGAAATTCAGCCCTGGACGGAGGGAAGCTAATGCTTGCAGGCTGCTGCTCCAGACAGAAAACATTTGAAACGGTCCTTTTGCATTTGTGTAGTTTTAGAACTATGAAAGGAAATGCTGCTTTCCATTTTTGTTACGGTTATGTTTTGGGGTGCATCTCAAATTTCCTGCCTGCCACCTGCCAGAGAGATTGACTTGCATGTAAGCAGGATTTCTCTTCAAAATGCAATCTTTTTCTTTTTTTTCAAAGCATCTGGGCTGCTTACAGGGGACGATTGTTGGCACATATTATGCTTTACATACATGTTATGATTCTGCAGCCTTGAGGTGTGCAATAGTCTTTTCTATTTGGAGGTGATTTCTGATTAGGCAGATGCCCTGAATTTTTGGTGGACATCTGTCTTTTCAAATTAAAGGGGAACCTGGGAAATGTAAGATCCTGCCCAGCAAGACCTTAATATTTTATGACAGAACTAGAGTTTTTTGTTTTTGAAGCCATAGCAAGACCCAAAGCGGGGCCCTTGGTGCCAATGCCAGAATAGCTCAGGTGTGATCCCTGTGTGCTGCTTTACTATATAAATTGTTTTCTGTGGCTACGGTATGTCAGTGGAGCTATCCAGGGATGAAATAACCTGCTGCCTGGAGGTAGCTCTATATTTCAGAGTTGTTGAATAGAAGCCAATGCAGGCATATATAATTGCCAGCTAAAATAATTCCCATGAAATTAAATCTTATGCATTGCTCAGAAGGATTTGCATTTTACTTATCAGCTTCCAAGCTGCTCCTGTTGGTGGTTTTAGAAAAGCTGTGCATTTTGGGCCCCTGTCCCTTTGCTTGGCACCCCTGCCTATAACATTTGTCATTTGGGAAGTCAATTCAGGTGGAATGACTGGTCGCTTTCTGTATAAAATACAAATGGGAAACTTTAATTTCTCAAGCCAGCTTTTTATTCTGCCAACTTCATTCCTGGCAGAAGCCAGTAACTTTAAGAGGCAGACTTTGTGAGGCAAACGCTCTGCCCTTTTTTAATTGAGTGATTCCTTAAACCCGCTGTGATGTTCAACGTAAGGAGCAACACCTTCAGAAAGTTCTTTTCCTGACTTAAAAGAAGCAAAAGCTAATATAATAAAATGTTTCTTTGCTGCTTTGACTTGGGGTTGTTTCCTACTGCAAAACCCTTTGCAGTGAAGTGTGGAAATTTAATATTTTATAGAGTATAGCACCGTGGTGAGCTTTATGGCAGGACTGAAGGCCATATTGTAACAGTGCTAAATTCGCCACCTGATCCAGAACCAAATGATCCCTTTGAGTATCCAGTAAATTTCTTCCCCACATAGACAGTCCCAGGCAGATATAAAATGTCACAGCTTGTCTATAATTCTTCCCACTTTAATCTCAACTTGCACAGCCAGCCATACACATTCATACAAAAAAAGGAGCTGAAGCAAATTTCTTGGTAAAACAGTTTTCTTCTTCTCCCCCCACGTGTTTTATGGTTTTTATATTTTTAAAGCTGCACTGGGGTGGCATTAATTTCGTTGTACAAGTTGTACAATGACAATAAAGAGTTCTGTTCTGTTCTGTTCTGTTCTGTTCTGTTCTAATGGGGATCAGATTTTCCCTCCCATAGATCTACTGCCCTAAAAGCATGGGGCATAGTGCAATTGACTCAGGAGCCAGCCATCCCCCTAACTATGGAAGCTGGTAGTTATAGCTGCACTCTGCATAACATTCTCAGGGGCCTCTTGAAAATCTGGAGGTCTTCCTCTTCTTAAAGCCTTCTAGTCTTCTTTCCTCTTCTGCCTTCCAGCCAGCCTGCCTGCCTGCCTTCCTCTTCTGCCTTCCAGGTCTTCTGAGGGGCAAATTTGGCTCCTGTGCTGTTACCCCTTTATACACCCCCAAGTCAGCTCTCACCTGATTGGTGGCCCAGCTTCAGGCTTAGCTATCCCATTGGCTCTTTCTCTGGCCAGACCACTGGCACTTCATGCCACAGAAAGACCAGTATCCCCATGACTTGAGGCCTGTTCCCATTGGCTGAGTGACGGGTGTTCGACCCTCAGACTTCATATCAAAGGGTGCCGGCAACTGGGTCTGCTGGAATGTTCTACTCCCGTAGTACCTCACAGATGATCATTAAAACTAAAATTGCTTCTGGTTCTGTGTGGCTTCTTGACTAAACCGTAGTTAACTAGCTGAACAGGGCAAGCTGTAAATCATGATCCTGGGCTGCTGGGGTGTATTGGCATGCTGTGCTGAGCCCAAACCACAACAATCAGACTTGAACTTGAGGCTGTTTTCCTCACAAGGGAATTGTAGCTTTGCCCATCCCTGGCCTGACAGGAATTGAGGCATTTTTATCGCCACCCTGACTGAAATGACCCCTATGAGCCGCTACAAATCCCTCGTGAAGGAGTGTGGCAAAGCCAGCTATTGTTTGGGCCTCTACACAAAGATCCACTGACTTTTTTTTAAGTGACACACATTTCACATTCGTTCTTCAACGTGAGAGCAATTTAAAGTGCGTCTTGGGTGGAAGGGGGCTGGTGCTGGACCTGTCCCCCCTTGACCTGATCTAGGGGATGGTGGGCCGGGGCGATGGGATTTTTTCCCTCAGGCTCCCGCCCCGGGGAGCTAGGCCTCTCTTTTCCACCTTCCCCCG